CTTTATGGTATATCCCCAAAAAATTGAATGATTAAACTTGATGTGTATATCTATCGATAAACAAAGTGTCAAATGGATATCACCATCAACTGACATACCACCACTACAGTACATTATCTATATTAGACAAAACTACAGTAGATTATCATCTGCTAGAATATAAAAGTAAACATATATAATTTCTCGTTTTTACGATACTAGTTTTCCTCGTTGAAATTAAACGTACAACCATCACTCCTGGAAGAGATCACCGTTTACAAAATAAAGATAAAACTGCAAAACACATAATCAAAATATACAAGAGCAATAACATCCCAGGATACATTGAGAGCACACATCACAATCGAGACAAATTTGTCAGTGGATCACGAAACGAGACACTGAAAAATTGGCACTGAAATCGACCGGAAACGAAATTAATTAGCGCGATATATCGTGCAAAAAAAAATAGCAATTGTCGCGTGCACATTATAGAAATCACCATCCATCCGTTCCTTCTAGAACACACAAATCTCGAGTCGAGGTCATGCACAAGTGCGAGATTCGCTTGTAAAGCTACCGCTTCACAGATGGCAGCGAGATCAGAGTCTCGCTCGGCCGGTATAAAAATAGATGGTCTCAAGATAGAGCGCGAACCCTCTCTCTCTTTCTCTCTTCCGTATCGAAACTTCGACCGCAAATTTACTACGCGTTTTCGAATCGAGCGTAAATCATTTGAATAAGCATATGAGTGAGTAAAGCATACGGCGCAAATTGACGCGTAAGTCGTTTCACCTTGGCGAGAATATTACAAAATCATGTTACACAAGATGTGCCTAGAGCGAAAACACTAGAAAACACTTATGAATATTTCGATTCAATTGCGGATACGATCTTTCTTTAGTAAGAATTTTATCGTTATTTTGTATATGTATATGTTTGTTATTTTGTAAGAAATTTATTTCAACAAAGTTTTTTTCTTTAAATAGTAGCATGTCTTGTTATTCCATTTTACGAGAACATATGCTAGGTTAAATTTCTATAAAATATGAGTCAAATTATCATTATATTGTTCCCACACATATAGTATATTTATTTCAAAAGTAATGGCTTCTATACAAAACATTTGCAATCTTTAGCTTCGAAAAACGATAATAAGTTGCTAAGGCTGTCGTATCTTTTAAAATTTATAAATGGAAATTATAAATGGAGGTTACAAATGGAAATTTTTAACTTTATTAATCGTCTTTTGTAATTATATGAGACGTCAAAATAATAGTAATTAGAATTTTTCTGCATCCTTTTTTATTGAAATATCCTTGATATTTGACAGTAGCATATATAATATAAAAAAGAGATTAATTAAAAATATTTAGCTGCGAATAAATTCTAAGTAAATAAAGATAAATCATTATAACATGTTAAATATAATGTTAAATATAATGTTATATATAAATATAATGTTAATATAATGTTAAAAAATATAAATATTACATTAAAAATATAAATTTTAATTAATTGAATATTCTTGATATATTTCAATATAGCAAAATACAAAAGCTGAGTTTAAAAGATGTAAAATATGTTAGAAAGATGATTTTTAAATACATGTATTAAATATATAAAAATTCGATTCGATCAATTTTAAACTTGCATATTTTGCGATCGACTTGTATTACTATTATATATTTAAACATAATTTTGAATGAATATTTGTGGTTCTCAGATTGATGATATATATATATATATATATATATATATATATATATATATAAACCATCATACTAAATTCCTCGTATTGTTTCCTTTTTTATCAATCTTTATTAACGCAATTGTATAGGTTAAAACTCCGTGACATATATATTTATAGGTACAATGGGGAAAGAGATTCGTAGAATATTCAGTATGCATTTCTCAAGTGACATTATTATTAATTCATTTGGCTCAATTACATCGAATCTTTTAACATACCATCATATATACACGTCGTATCATATATTACATGTTAACTTTTATTGACCTTTCGATAAATGCATCTTAGTTTTTAAACCAGAGATGCATTATTTTTTTCATGGTTTCTAATTATTTTTAATAACAACAGAAGTAAAAAAGGAGTTGATCAAAAGACGTTGGTCGAAAAGATTATAAAAGCCGCGAATGCGGCTTGTAATTAATTATCTTGTAATTAACAATTGAATTTTCTGTTTCAGGAATATAACAAAAGCAACGAAGAGAAATGCATTCTGACGTAAAACAATATTCCTTCGAAGATAGCTGCGAGAAAAATGCCTCTCACGTTGCGTCGAGTTCTGCGAGAGAATCTTCGTCGAGGATTGTCCGACCGGTAGATAGCGAGATACTTTTGTCGATCGACTAGAGTCGACCCTTTACTGGGAGATTATGAACACTCAGACAGTCATACACCGTGGCTAGAGAAAGGAGGGTAACAAGTCTGTGGGTCATTCGCATTCGGTCGAATCGGGTGCTACAGCACGGAGCACCGTGGAAACGTACCAATGAACTCCACGCGAATAGGTTGTCAGGAACATGAAAGAGTCTCATGTCTCTTATATGTATAGAGATGCACATAATCCATTCCAACTGCCTCTCTTGCGTATACGTATGCAACGTGAATTCAAATTATTCTGCAATAAATCTGCGTTAAGGTAACTAAAATAGAGATATTTTTTTCACTTGCTTAATCGCAAAACAAATATCGATTTTTTTTAAAATAATTGTCACAGATGATAAGCCTCTAAAATTTATGGTTCTACTTATCGTTAGGAGATTTCTTTTATAATTTCCCTTTCAAATGAACGAAAGTTATTTTCTCATTCTTTATATCTCTCATTAATATGATGAATCATTATTTTTATTTAATTATAATTTATTATCCACAGGCATATAATATATAAATCCTTCTCTCGAAGTAGAAGAATACGAGATAGTTCATCAAAATCAAAATGACAGGAAATAAAGATGAGTATGTATGATGGAACGTTCGTATTGTGATTAAGACAAATAAAAAAATCAAGACTTGACAACCAACTTGACTCCAAGATGCAACATTATATAATAATCGACTCTATACATAAGATAAGTAACGCTCGTATTTATAGAAAGCAGTCATGAGATCGAATCTAGAAAATATTCGAATCTACAATTATGCAATGTGGGAAGGAAATAAGCTGACCACGATCGAGTCAGCCTCCGGCGCGCGCCGCGTATTCGTACGTACGCGGTTTGCGAGTGCGTGGAAGAATAGTGGGGCGCAGTGATGCGCGGAGCGGCCACTCCGCAGCGCTCCCCTTTCAAGAGGAGCACATGAGACAACGGGAGGTGAATCGCGAGTGCGTCTGGACCGCTCGTCCGGACGCGAGCGGGCTCCTTGGGATGCTGCTGTCCTGTACCAGGGGGTCCCCGAGAACTGGCCTGCTCCACGATCAACGCCAGACCACACGTCATTGCGCGCACGTGGAGGAACACCGTGTGTCTGATATGGGCCGACGTGCGATAAAACATAATTATATACTATCACAAAAAATATCAATCCTAAAACACGTTAAAAGAGATATAGGATATATTGATGCTTAATTTAGTTTTTCCTTATGTTTTTTTTACACTTTATTTTTAATCGATCACATATCAATGTTATGAAGATGTCTCTCTATGTTTCTATATAAAAAATCATGTATATGTATATATGTACATGTATTTAGAGCTCTATCGCTTATTTTAGATAAATAATCACGCGATGAATGTTAAATTTCATTTGATTCTAATCATTATGATATTGTTATTTAATTATAATTGTTATTTCTTTTAAAAAATAATCATCTACAAGAGTAATTCAAAGATCACAAATTATTATAATATGACACGTAGGAAAGCCCAATGAAAATCAAAATTTTTTGATATTATATAACGATTATATAATTAATTATATAATCAAAGTTTTCTCTTAATAATATTAATAATATTAATTATTATATTATCACTCTTAACAAAATATTCGCTTGTAATTAAATATTTACTTATATATGTATTATATTATTTTAGATGTAAATTTTTGCTTCGACGAGACTTGCTCCCGAATAACAATAAATCCAATTATAATTATCATCTATTGTCCGTTTTGCAGAGCATAAAACAACAATGACGACACGATGCACGAGAAAAACGGAGCATGATTTCGAGTCGACGGAACACGTTCCATCTTAGGATGTTCGCCTGATCCTCGGGGAGCCTTGCGGTGTAGAAACCGGTCAAGGAATGCGTGTAACGCGTGTACGTACACGTCACGCCCACTCGTCGTCCCTGTCACGTACGAGGCTCATGCCATCGCATACGCGCTCCACTACCTGCGTACATATGTACGTCGATGCGTATGTGCATACGACGAGTGATCTTCGAGCGTCTGCGATGTCACGACACGCGTGCAGAGAGCTGTGTATACGTGTCTAGCAGCCTGTCACGCTTCATGCACCGACACAGAACTCGATAGGAGACGATTGTCGGATGCCGACCAAGTTGCCAGGAAACTAGCAAGAGCGACAAGATTGTCGCTCTAGGAATTTCCCGCTACGAATAGTCTATGCCTTTTAAAATCTGCTTAAGACACTATGATAATGCGGATTTAATTATGCAGGTTTGATTATACAAAATATTTCTGTATATTATAAATATGATAATATTTCTCATCAAGATCTGTCAAATGATTTTTCTTAACGAGATGAGATATAAAAAATAAATTTTGAATTTTCAACGAATAAAGAAAATTATGTTTCATGTTAATAAGTGAGAAAATCTTTTTTTCAGTTAATTTTAGACTGGACTGACAGAATTTTGATTAGTAAAATATTGAATGTTGAAGATATAAAAATTTAAGAAAATATACAATCAAATTATATTAATTTAAAATAAATTATTTCAATTTTCTTTTATGACATTAGAGCTTCAAAGAAAGTTTAAATAATATGATATGCAAGTTGTCATGTTCTATGGTAATAAAATAGATTTAGTTTTTTCATTGTCGAAACATAAGTGTTATTATATTACTGATTACACTTTGTTAAATACACGAAAAAGAGATAATAAAGAACAATTAACTACAGAATAATTAATGTGTCTGATACGTATATATTAATATCACTTATGTTTTATGTAGCGAAATGTATATATGTGTGGGCGAATGTATGTGTGTATGTGTGTATACATACATGTATTTATGTATTTCATGACAAAGAAAGAATTGTAAAACATAGTGTGTTCTTTTGCAAAAGTGTTAATTAATATTACGATTAAACAAATCATCTCTAATGAGTTAATTTTACATTGTGATATGTTTATATTTAAAAGATTATCTTTTGTTGAACAAAATATTTCTAGCAATATTTCTAGCAAAAATTCAATTACTTTCCAAGAAGTATTTTTCTTGTAGCTCCGAAATTTTGTCCTGCTTGAGTAGCTCCCTTATTAGTACCAGCTTGCAAGCCAATAAGTCCCTCGCCAGCTCTTAGTTGCTCTTCTGTGAAGGACCTTTTATTTTCTTCTGCTGGTTTCGGACCCAACCAAGGACCGCGCCATTCAGGATGCTTGTATGTCTGTAAATAATTTAGAGGTACATATTTTCCTTTTAATAGCTTATCTAATTGAGATTAAGAGATGTGACTGTCATGTAAAATATGCACTTAATTTATATCACATTATTTGTTTCCAGATTAATTGCAAATCTTGAATATTTATCATTATGGTTCTACTGCTAAACCTGCACCAAAGATTTTTGCTTCAAGAAATTTTACAAATTTAATAAAGACATCAAATTAACCATCGTATTTTAAGAAAATAATAAAATATCATTAATTAATTACCGTGCGTCCAATAGCGAAGATAGTGTTCGTTACTTGAGCGATATTTTTACGTTCCATCAGATCAACAGCTTGGAAAAGATCAACATCAGGTACGCCATATTTTACACAGGCTTTTTGGAATCTGAAAATTCATCAAAAAGTTCTTATCAGTACGTACAATCAGATAAACTCATCAATGTATTCACCAAATAAAAGATAAATAGAAAAAAAGCTCGCATATTCAAAATTAACGCGAAATATATTCCAGAAAAATAGACAATCAGAATTGATACGTAATGAGGAGGGTTTGTAAGACACATCATCGAGAAACGTCGACAAGTCGAAGGGAAAACAAAGGCGGGGGAGACACAAAAGAGCAGCACATTTAACTCCTTTATATGGCTGTTCGCCTGGGCATTGCTTTGAGCTAGTGACGCGCTTCTATTATTCAGTCGCTAATTATCACCGATTGGTGAAGCAATTAACAGTGGTGAAGCAAGTAACGTTTGTGCGGTACATATATTGTAATCTGGAAATGCGAGGAGTTGCGATGCCTTATCGTTATCTGTGTCGTAGAAATGACGTGTTGCGTGTGTCCGCTTAACAGGACAGTAGAATCTCATCCTCCGTTTTCACATTAAAGACAATTTTCGTCATCAATCATCGCACGATACGTAACGTAACATCTCGTAGATTGATCAATCGCATGTATCAAACGAAAAGTCTCGTTCCAAAGGAGGCACTTTAATTTTACGTCATCAAAGCAGCGCGAAAAAGTGAAAATTCAGAGAATACACGCCTTTTTAATGTATTTTATTACTTAAATTTATATTAATATTTCAAGAAACTTTATAGAAACGAAAAATGAAATTGTTAACGTCATCGAACATTGTATCAATGCTATCGATCAAGCGTGCGTTTGGACGCGCGTTACGTTCACCGAGCGGAAAACGTGAGGCAGGTCAGTGCTCATGAGCGGTCCGTCTATCAGAGGCGCATGAAGGAGCTCGGGTCGGCGCGCGTGCAGACTCCTTCTCGCGCCTTCTCCCACATAGACACATGTAACAAACGTGATCTTACGCGGTCGCGAAGACGCGACATGTGGCGGATACATCACCTTCGCCGGAATTATGCTGCTCGCGTAGAAAGGGAGTAACGCGGAGTGGCCGCGCTGCGCATCGTTCGCCCCACTACCTCGGGGAAGCGCTCTTAAACATTCAAAACGCGCCAAATGCTGAAGAAGCCGCGACATGCGCACGTGCAACGATGCCGACGGCGACGATGCAGGGAAATCGGCGGGACGGCAGCGCGAGGATGAGAAACTCCGTGTCTCGCGAGAGATCAAAGGCCGAGAAGGAAAGAAGAAACATAGGTTCGTGAAAAATGCACGAGATGCGTATGGTTCCTCGAGACGACGGCTCTAGAAGACTTGCTCTAGAAGAAATGCTCTAGAATAGATCTAGAAGAATAGCTCTAACATTATCCGGGTAACGAAGGGAGAGGGCAGTTTTCGTCTCTGCAGGGATGTTTCTTTGCGCTGTCCTAAAATCACCTCCTCGCAGGCAAATATTTCATCAGGATTGTAGCAGTGTGCTACAGGCGTTCAACTCGGTTATATATATACATATATATCCTATTTTCGGATTGCAACTGACATAAATATACCAGATGATTATTTATATGCGAAAGTATAAAGAATTTTCCCGAGAAAACGTAAGAGAAAATAAATGCACAAATTCTAAGACAAGAAGTAAATTTAGAAATTCACATTGTATATAATTGCGTAGGAAGCAAATTATGTAGATTAAACGCTGTAAGAAAGAGATCGCCTCGAGTGCATCTTAAATGAAATTTTCCGTCCAAATTGAACGTTATTCGATTGATCTACTATTGTATTAATCTCACGTATACAATGGAAAAGAGATTATTCGAGGAAGGGTGCAGTAGGTACATCGATTCGTCCAAACATTTGCGAATTTCCGTTCTTTTCTTGTACGCCTTTAGTACCTATCCTGCGTGTCTACATATATCTACTCCGCTTTCACTTTCATCGCGCTCCAATGTATAGTCGATGGTCCCGACCTCAGACTTTGTTGGTTCTCGATTACCAGGCGAACACGACGGGCCAGGAGCAGGCTCGTTGTCGCTGGACGTTTCGCGCGGTTTCATGCGGCCGCGGATATCGCGTGACTCTCGAAACTCGGGAGAGTCGAGAGGGTCAACAATCTCTCGACTGCGACGACGGTCGTTGATCGGCGTTGTCGATACTCCGTAATCGAGAAATTGACGCAAAACACTGTCGATTGCGTAAAGTCGACGGCGGATTAGGGCAGCATGAGATCGTAGGAAGCGCATCGCCGAGACTGAGCCTGGTGAGATAGTTGGAGAAGATACCTCGGGCGTGAATATATGAATCACCTGTGTCTTGCGTTGAATTATTAACGGAGCGTTTAATCGAAAATATTATTTTATTTTATTATTGTACTATGAGAGAGAGAAAGAAGGATGATTTATATATATTGTTTAAATAATTTCTCGTATTTTTATTTGAATGTATATATTTTTTAGAACCGTATACTTACTGATTGAGGTTGTCCATCATCTTATAATCGCCACCGGACGTATTGATCTTGGAGATCAGGCCAGGCTGCAATTTGTTCATGAGCTTGCAGAAGATGACACCATCTCTCAAAGCATCCTCGTAATTCAATTCTGTAAATGTGCGTAAATTATATAATTAATACTATATATTTATTAGATTATATATATATATTTTATATATATAGATTATTATATATATTTATTAGATTTTATTATTTAAAATATAATCTTATATATAATTTTAATACAAAAATATATTAATATAAAAACATTATATTAAAGTTATGATATTTAGATAAAAATGAAAATTATTCTTTAAAATATTATTTCATATTGGATTGGATGTATATATTGTATGGCATCTTGGGCTACTTGATGTGAGATATAAATTGAAATGATACGCAATATGATTGTTTTAAATTTGATATTTACACACAATTTTTATATAATTGATAACATAATGATTAATGTGTAATCTCGTGTCGATCAAAAAATCTCGATTATAGATTAAATGTGCAATACAGCGTGCATATATCTTTCGTAAAACTTCAAAGGACATCAGATAAGATATCAAGAAAGATCTAACTCTATTTAATTCACTTGATTAAAGAGATTATCGCGACATTCCGTCGCGTTTGAATAGAGAAAGCTCCGAGAGAAAGGGAGAGCGGCCCGATAGCGAAAAGAATGTTGACGATCACTGCGGCACCAGGATCGCAGAAACGACGTCATCCCTTCCCGCGCCCGGTGCCGAAATTCGCGCGGTTTCAGGGGAGGCCGGGGCTTGCGCGATAGCCGAGCGGAACCTTTGGTTTTCGCGGACCGCGGGAAGCGGCAATTATCGATGTCGAACTCCCGCCCCGCCACTTCCCCGACCTATCGGCCATTTTTTCGCTCGATACTCCGCGCGTTCATCCATCCCTACCTCTCTCCCACTATCGCTCCTCCTCCCCCTTTCCCTCGCCAGTCTCGCACCGCTATCCCTCTCTCTCCTCTCTCCCTCTCACTCGCGGGGACAGATCCGCCGCGAAATAATAACCGCGAGGCTAACAGCGTGCAACCAGCGCTCGCTCATGGCGCCCCATTATGCCAAGAGGCGAGCCAAGGGGGCATGGCATTTTTTGTCACGTCGAACGAAGAATCAGGAAAGGCCGGTCGCGTCTTGCGAGCGCCGGCGCTCTTTTTGCTCGCTTTGATCGGCGGCGGCGACGCCGCCACCGCCGCCCGTTGTTAGTCGCCGCCGTCGCCGCCGTCGCCGCCGGCGGCGTCTTCCCCGTCGGCGGCGACGGCGGCGGCGGCCGGTGCCTTTCGTCGCGACGCGCGCCCGTCGCCATTCGAAAGACACGACGCGTCTCGGGATCCTAGGGACGCAGACCATCGCAAGAGCTGTGCGTTTCGCCCGCACTCGGCACCGTCGTTGCGTTTTTTTTTATCGCTCCCCCCCCTCCCCCCCTCCCCCTCCGCCGCCACGTCAGCGATACAACCGGGGTGTATCGATGTATCCAATCTATCGGCGCGCGACGCTGCTCGCGCCGCCGCCATCGCAAATTGTATCGACGCACGGCGTCCCGACACCGAAGCAACAGTTGGCTTAACTCCCACACTGGGTGTTCCTCGATAACCGCCCTACACGGATAGCACTTTAATCCGCTGATGCATCTCATTGTCCGATTCTCCGATAGCGCGGTATAATTAAGTTGGATGCTAAATTAGCGGAGCTACTTGCATATCTTAGGCGGAGACTTATATGAATGCGGGATCGCTCGAGACCTTATTTGGACTCCGGTTCTCTCATCTTATGTGAAAAACGGTAATTTAATTGCTCTGTCGAAGTATCGTATTGCATTTGCCGCAATTATTTAGATGATAAACTATGGTGGGACATAATTTAGCGAATAACTTGTAATTCTCGGACGATTCTTTTATAATTGTAATAATATTAAAAATGTATAATATTCAACATTATTGAATATTCTGTTCTGCTTCGCAGAACAGAAATAATTTGAACCTACAAAGACTGGAATAAAAATCTCATTAACTCTACGCATGCAAAATTGCAAGTAATGAGAAAATTAAATGCGGTTATTTTAATATCAAAAATATGCATCGAATATAATGAAGCTCGTGGTGTATAAATTTGCACGAGAATATGGACATCTTTTTTTTCACTCGTGTTTTCGCTTCGATATACATATATTTTTTTTACATATTTCACCTTATCATTTATCATATTCGAAGTGTTGCAGTTTTGCAAGAACTCTTTGATTGATTAATACGCTAATTTTATTGTAATATGATAGTATATAATTTTTTGACAATGACATTTTTTTACAAATACAATTAACGGTATAAAAAATTAAAAATTATATCGCATATACATGTGTGCAATAAGTGAACTTTAAAGATCGAAAACTGTATCAAATCATTCCGCAAACCCGGTAATATTAAGACGAAGGATTTTCGGGGAAAAGGACACACGTGCCAATTGTCTAAAATACTACTAGCCTGATCCTGCAAGGACGACGGTCACGTGGTTTTGAATTGGTGGGGATCGCGTTAAACGCCTACCCCGAAATCTGTTCGCCTAGTAAGCGGCTGGTCGTACGCTTGAATTCTCGATTGACAAGCCATCGACAGGCGATTGGTTCTGGATGGTCCACTGCAATCCCGATTGACCAATTAATTTTTTCTTTAAACAAATGTGTAGTAACTCACATTATTACTGTTAAATTTCAACTTGTTCCGGATAAAATTTTAATTTAGAGAAATATTTATGTCAGGTATACAGACACAGATATGTATATTTTTTAAATTATAATTTCTTCGATTTAATTAAAGCTCGCTTCTCCTTGAAATAATTAAGAGAAAATTGATCAGAAATGAGAGACTTGTTGCTCGTTTTGTAACGCGAATAGTTCGCCTGGTATCAGGAATGTATTACGCGCTTTTGCTACGTTCGCTTTCGCTCGATGCATTTCTGCTTCCTTCTTTTCCTCCCCCCCCTAAGCTTCTCATACAGTTCGTTTCCACAGACGTCGAGTTCCTTTCGCATTTTTCAAGAATTTTATTCTTGAAAACTTTCAATTTCATTGACCATGCATAAAGCAAATAATAATATTTGAAGAAATAACGCGATACAATTAAAAAAAATATTTGACTTGATTATCAAACAAATAAAATGCTATACAATTTTTAGACGTATTTCTTTAAAAATGCGTCATGTGTCTAATAAAACTATATTTTTCTGCGAAATTGTTTACATTTTTGTCTCTAGATAATTTTATCATTATGCATGGAGAGCATGTAACACCATGTCTTTTCTAAATATTATAATAAAAAACGGAATAGCAATTTTAAAACAGAATTCTAAAAGTAATTAAAACATTCTTATCAAAAAATTAATGTACAAGTTATATTTATAAATATGTATTTGACAAAAATGCAAATAATTTTAATTAATATTAAATTTCCTCTTCCTGCTTTATATTTTTAGAATAATAAACATATAGAAGAGAGATATATTTTTTATTCTTAAAAATATTTTATATTAAGTATATAATTTTGTCCCCATTAGAAATAATAATTCTTAAGAATTAGAATCTGAAAAATAAATATATATTAAATTTAAATAATTTTTAAACATGATAAATGTATGCAAGAAGAAGACGCAATGTTTCTACAGATTGAACGTCCCCCCCCCCTCCTCATCCCTCTATAGATGATATAAATTTCACGCTGTACGACGCCACCGCTTTTGCGCGATATCCAGGCAGCATCCGCCCGGTGCTCTCTTCGATAAACAAATACGCGCCGCGTGCACGTCGGGCCTGGCTATCCGGGATAAACAAGCGTGACATGCTGATAGGTTCCTGGTAGTGTCGAAACGCGGTGAGATGTCGTAAACCCGAGAAGATGACAGAAAATCAATAGCGCGCCTTTACGCGGACGTCGCCGGCTCCGAGCTCGTCTTGGACCGTTTCTTTCATCCGTTGGCGAACGGTCACGCGTGATGCTGGCCTGGTCTTTTTCAGATGCCGTGCGTCTTCCTGCCGTCTTCGGGAAAAAATCCCCGAACGCAACAATATGTATCGACGGATCGAAACTATTCCCGCGGGTGATACTATCCTGTTACGTTGACACGTCATGGTCGTCATGTTTGGAGAATTTGACGTGAAATCGATGGCTCGTCTTTGATACGTCTCGTTATCGTTCGCGGTTGCCGATATTCTTGTGTTACCGATGTTGAATTGTCATCTCGAAACCGTGCCAATGAGAACGCGAAAGAGATTAGGAACATTATGCAAATGAACGAACGATAACGAACGTTCCTCCTGTACTATGTTTATGAAAGACGCGTAATATTTATACATCTAAATATCGATGATCAACATTATCATCAGTAGTTGATCTGTATGATTATGTATTATTACATTAATTTATGTTCATTATTAGTGAAATATATCTATGATTTTTACGTGTCTTGTGGATATCAAAATTAATATTAATACAGCAATTAATAAAATTGCCTAATACTTTAAAATCGCGTACGTGCGTCAATTCTAATTACTATTTATTTTTTTATCGTGTTAAATTATCAACAAACAAAAAAGAAAGAGAAAATTAATATTTGTGGCATTGAAATTATACATGATATATATAATAATAATCTTATATCTTTTTCTCATGATGACATATTATATTTGAATTATATTAATATCATATTTAATTTTTGCGCATTTCGCAATATTTATTGTATTGTTAGCGACTATGCTAATGCGATTAACGAATTATCCCAGGTATATCCCAGGCAGAAAAAGACACAACGAACGCGCTTGCGTCGTCGTCATATCGATTAAATGTCAGACTCATGTCATAAAGACGTCACAAGCACGGTTTTCATCAGGACAACATCCTGCGCTTGAATTTACGATCGTCGACATGGCAACAGGTCTCGCGGGAATGCAACGCCGTGGTACGCAGAATCCAAGATTCCCGCTGTATTCCTCTCATTTCTAATACTAATCTAAATCCTCAAGCAAATCCTTATCAGAATTTTTATTTTTATCCTTCAATATATTCTTTCCTTCAATATATTCTTTATTTAATTTATT